TTAGTGAGAATCTTAATTTTGGAAACAATTCGCCTTTCATTCCCATAGTTGTCTCCCAGTAACATAGCACAGCTGGCCAATGGAAGCCAGTATGGTAGAAAGAACAAAAACAGTTTGAGGATCGCACACAGATATGTCCGTCAGCAGATACAAAGTTTTTAATGAAGCCTTTCAAGCATTTTTAAGGACAAAGTGCTTTCGGCTGTCCAGCCTTAATCAGTGTGAGTTACAAGACTAGCAGTGCATGCACTGATTTAACAGCTGCAGTGGAGTCTGCAGATCAGCGATGTTCAATCAACAATCACCGATACAGACCCTAGAGTGGCATGTAAGATGGTACATGCTACACACAACATATTGAAAACAAAAGACAATAAACTGACAATCCAATATCACATTCGTATGTGCTGAGTTAAAAACATGTCTTTCAACAACTCCAACTGTCACTGAAAACATCAGGTATGACTACTGTTCATAGCCAGTATGGCAGCAACATCCCAAAATGTACTCAAGTTTGTATGCAAATACAGTTTCTTTATAGATCATATTGATGCTAAATTGACAAGAATACTGTCGACACATGAGACCTTTTATCATGTGTTTTCAGAGTTGGGTGCTATGCAACATATGAATTTGCAGACACATAAGGATTTGTTAATGTCAAATTCCTAAAAGATGTTTGGCGAAATATTTTCGGCTAGGAGCAGGATGGGATTTAAACTTGCAGTCTTGCAAACAGTGACCCTGGAGTCTTTGCAAAATCTTAAAGTCTGTGACTAACAACTCACATTACCTTTAGATGTGAGACAGTGTAAGACTTTAGTGTTTTAAAAGTATTTTAAGCCTTTTCAACACACAGTCAATACAGTCAATACAGTGTGTGTGTGTGTGTGTGTGTGTGTGTGTGTAATAGTGGAGTAATAGTCATTTCCGGTTAATTTATGAGGACTTCGGGGCCTCCGTAGGTTGGCCAAGTGCTTTTTTTTTTTTTTTTTTTTTTTAAATTAACAATTACCTTGATGAAGAAGTTGGTCCCAGCCACAACTTGACTCGTGTAGCTCTTGGCTGTGAAAACGTCATAAGTCTTCCCTGCTTTTGCCTCCGCACTGGGCTTTACCTGAGTAACAATAACAGGACAGCATCAATGAAACACAGGCTCTGTTCACGGTGTGTATAGTTTTGAGGTAAGAAAGTCCAAGTGTAATAATAATGTTCTTTCTCTCTCTACTTACCTCATCACACAGTTTCTGGATTTCTTCGGTGGCATCGGCTGCCGGGCCGGTCCCTCCACATTTCATAGGCATTGTGATAGCTTTTAGTCGAGAAATACAGGGAGAAAACAAATGAAACTGACACTGTTTCCGTCTCGAGACGTTCAATTTGAGTCAGAAGATCATATGACTCTGGATGTTGGATTATACCATCAGTAGGGGGGAGTATTTTTTGAAACGATGTCACACATCGACTACAACAACAAAAAACGTATTTGAGATGTATAAACCTGTTTAAACTACATTTTATTCATACAATACACCGTTTAAAGTATCAGGAATGAATATTTTTGAAATATAGTTTAATATATCGCTCTGCTCTCCCTATTTACAGAGACTGTGGTTTAGTCCAGGGCGTGACTGTGTTTGGATGTGGCAACTCAGCGTCGTGTGTTAAACACTGTTGTGGATTGACAGGAATTTGCTGACTTTTTGGGGCTGGAAAATGTTATGATAAACTTGTGGTTTCCATGTCTGAACATTTTGAAGATGAAAGATAAGTCACGCTCTAACTGAACAGCTCTATAAGCTTTTCTATGTACTCGTGCTTCCTCATTTAACAGTCATTTCTGCTACGCAGCAAACCCCTCTAAACAAATAAAGGCGTAGGTGAAACTCAGACAGGGTTTAAACCCTCTCTTTAGTCCTCTTGTCAACAAGTGGATTATTCATTCTCGAGCAATTGTTAGAATTCCAAATCCAGTTTTGAAAAAACAATTTTGGCAGGTTATCTATCACCTAATGGGTCAGAGGTTGTGACTCATCCACCTGAGTATTTTTTGTTTGTTTTGTATAGGGGAGACTGGGTATGGTTGTAACTACACCTATAGCCCCAGTTCTACCACACACCTCCGGTATGGTACCTTTGGAACCAAAAGTAACCCCTTCAGACATGGTACCTAGACCCTAAGTCTGCTTAAGTCCCTGTTTCCACTGAGCAGTATAGTATAGTTGTCTGAGTTGTGGCTGGTTTTCAGAATCAGAATCAGAAATACTTTATTGATCCCCGAGGGGAAATTATTTATGTTACAGGTGCTCCTTGCAAGAGAGGAAAGATACGTGAAAATATAAGAAATTTAAACAATAGTATTAACAAATATATAGTTAAATAAACAGGAATTATTAACAAACATAAACGTAAATAAATATATATATATATATACACATATATATATTGTAAAACTGAACAAGATTATTTACACAAACAGAATATATACAGTCAGGGTGAATGGGGTTATATTTTGAGGCTCATGTAACCACTGTTCATACTGTGGAGAGTTTTATTAGTAAACTGTAACTATAAAATGACAGGATGTTTTGCTGGTTCTTGCCGCAGCTGGAGTCTGAGAAAAAAGAATTCACTGGGCCGACTGCCGGCGACTTTTAAGGTGGAACATCATCTTTTAATGTTTCTTAATGCATGACATGATGATGGGAATCATGGAGAGAGACTCTCACTGCAGCTTGTTTTATTTTTGTCTGAAAATGTTGGCGTGCAGCCTCGTTCTGTGGACAATAAATGAAGTGCAGACTTCCATCTGTGTCACTGGTAATGAGGAAATACAGTGAGTGCTGGACGGAGCAGTGAGTGACAACAACCCCGCCCACATTTAAGAGTACTGTTTGCTGTGGAAATGTCAGGGTCTAGATACGATGTGTGAAACGTTAATTTTGGTTCCAGAGGTACCATACCCAAAGTGTAACTAATGTATGTAAACTCCACAGTGTGAACAGTGGTTACATGAGCCTCAAAACCAGCCACAACTCAGCCCTGAGCAGAGTGACGGTCCTCTATTGACCAATCAACAGACTGCAGTGTTCACAGCTCCACCTTTTAGCACCAGATCTGTGTGCTAGGTACCCCAACAGACTGCAGTGTTCACAGCTCCACCTTTTAGCACCAGATCTGTGTGCTAGGTACCCCAACAGAGGGGGGACCTAAAATGGGGACAGTAAGGAACAGTTCTTTTGGTACCATCCACAACTTTTCACAGTGCAAACGGAACAAAAGCGTACCAAAGTGAGCTGTACTGTACTGCTCACTGAAAACAAGGCTTTTGAGTCATGTAAAAGGCCTCCATTTATTGTGTGACCTTGCATGTGAAATTTCATAGCTGTGTGAAGAACTGTTCAGATTTTAAGTTGGTATCTTGTATTACACTAGTAAGTAGTCTCAAGGGTAAAATGTGAGGCATTTCATCTTTGCTCATTTTAAATCACTGTTGTTACAACTAATAAACAACGGCGGTCAGGGATGGGGATAGTTATTACACATTTTAAAGGAATGTTACAACTAACCCAATGACAAACACATGCTCTCTCTCTTTTTTTTTTTGAGCAGGCCAGTAGAGTTGAAGAGACAAAACTGATAGGTGTGTGCTTGCACATCTAACTGCAAAGCAAATAGCACAGCTATAAAGCTAACTATAAAGCTGTCTGTCTGTCTGACCTTTATCTACTTCACACGTGGCAGGTGTATTGCTGGGCACCTAAAGTTGTTTTTACATGCTACCCCTGGGACAGATAATTTGTCATCACAACATCTCTTTCCATAAAGCTGGATGTCCCAAAACTTCTAAAAATGTAGTATTCTTGTTATTCTTGTTATTGTTATTCTGGACAGTGGTATGACCATGGAGCAACATGTAAAGAATGTTGTCCAGTCTTGTTTTTACCAGCTGAGGAATATCTCCAAATAACTTTGACGTAACTATAGGTGAACTTTAATAATGAAGCTCACAGTCAATGTGGCTTTTATTACACTCAGGGTCACTAACAGCAATTTTATAAAAGCAGTTACAAGTTAAAGCATCTTGGTGCAGGGGTGTGGCGCACCAGTCGGCTGGCCTATGCACCAGAAGTATACAATCAGTGGACAAACACTTTTTCCCCCAACAGAAAAACACTTAAACTACTACCAGTGCCACAGCAAACCTAAAATTATACCACCACACCTCAACAGGTGAACTCCTACTGCACCAGCTGCTCCCATGACCAGAGGATAACACCAGCTGCAGCACTAAAAAAGATAAAACAATAAAATAAATGATTATGTTCAATCTATAAGGACAGAGAAACACTTTAAAATGAACAATGTAAAGTAAATGGCAACTAACACTTTGCCTGAGAATTTAACGCAGCATGTTAGTCTCAGTGTAACCACACACAAACACAGTTTAGTATTAACATTCACATCTTGCTACTGTAACAGCTCCTGGGCTGTAAAACAAAGCATTGTTGGCAGACCCACAGAAGTGTTATCAACTTTGTTTGGTGAAATCTAATGGACAAAGTCCTGTTGGCTCCATGGCGTCAACTTCTGTGTTGGCCTCCAATAAACGTCATCCCTACTGCACTCTTTATTGCGCTCTTTGCATCTTTGCAGAGTCAGCTGGGGAATGACTGTAACGGCACTGTAGCTGTCATTTTTACCATTAGGAGCTGTACACATGCTGCGTCTTTAATGGCCTGGAAAATGCAAGGTTGGACGCTTGGTGCTACTCTTGTGCCTAATTTGTGCCAGCTTTCAAGGGTGTGGAGGCAGGTTGCATCTGAGGTTGCTAAGCAACCATAACCAGCACGGATTTGTAGCCAACTTACCAGGAATCCTGAGTGCAGAGCTGATCTTCCTCCAGGTGTTCTGTAAGTGTGTTGTAAGCCAAAAATATTGTCAGTGGGACAGATGTAACAGTCTGGGTAGAACTGCACTAAAAGGATCAACTTCTTCTTCATATTTACACCAGACTGATATTAACAGAAGATGAGGCGATTGGTTGTTCCTCATCATGTGACATGCGGTGTGGACCAAAAGTTGAACTTGTTTATCTCAGGGTGCAGCCATCACGCCCTGAAAAACAAGGTGCTTGGGAAAAGGTGAGCCCCGTGATGGTGTCGCATCTGCCTTGCATCTGCATTGAACACAATGAATTTGAAAGTGCATAAAACACATCATGTGTATGGCCTCTTATATAGTATAGTTGTGACATCACAACTTCAGAGCGGTCCTGATGGCTTGTTTAAAGGCAATGGTCACATATTGTCAGAACACGGACATGGACTGTGTGCATTTGTCTGTGGATTGAGCATTTTGATACGTTCACAATATTTATATAGCACCTATACCTGTTGATAAAAGAAAAAGACATGGAAATCTGACTTTTTGCAATATGGGACCTTTAAATTTTAATGTACGTTTTGAAAACATGCAGAGAATATGATTATTTTGATGCTAAAATCAGCATTATGGGTACATTTTAGGCAAACCAAGGGAAATATGGCCTCTACTGCTGCAAAACATCAACATGATAATAAAATTAAAAGTATATATATTATTCTAATTTCTATGAATGAATGAATATTTTTTTATTTGGTTACATACATCTGGAAAAACAAAAATTATTTCACACAAATTTGCTCACAGTCAGTAACCGAAAAACGAATAGGCTGAAACCTCAGGCTGATTTATGCCCAGAATATCAACAATACCAAAGAAAGGAAATAAACTCAGTTCTTTTCCATTCTGATCATTTTACATTGTAATCCATAATCATTTTACATTTTAAGGCTTTTTTAGACACTCAAAAGAGAGCAACACAATTTGAAATCATCACTGAGTTCATTCCATAGTTTGACTCCCAAAACTGAAACACATTTGTGTTTTACATTGGTTCTCTTAATCTAAAAAAAAATAAGAAATGAATACAGATAGGAAGGTTTCTGATGACAACTTGAAAAATTAATTCTAATGTTTTTAAATACACAATGTCTGGAAATTTGATGGTGTACGATGCTATAAACTGTTGATTAGTTGATTCCCTATAACCAGCTTTATGTGTTATCATAAGGGCTGTAAGCATTTCCCCAAATTTCAGCACAGTAGGACACATATGGCATTACAAGTGAAACGTTTAATGTGTTCTATGTGTGGCTTCCAACATAGTTATTTCTAGTGTGAATAATTTGATTTAATGGGGGAAAAAATCTTGTGAACATTTGACAGGTTTCCCCCCAAATAACATAAAGTTACATGCTTGTTTCTTGTTTTCTTTTTAGTGAGCACCTGTCCTGAGTCTGATGTTTAATGACCATAACATTTCCAACCTGAGGATGGCGTCAAATGCAACATTTATTGTGGTGCATTTAATTTCAGGCAGGAGAAGAAGAGGACAGACTGCCTGTGAGAGTCTCAGTAGTCAGACGACATGTTTGTCATTCTCCACAGCGCACTTGTCTTCACAATGCTGCTGTCCTTTGTGCTTTCCCGAGGCTTCTGCCAGCTTGCGGCGGAAGTGAACCGCAGGTCTTGCCCGACCTTTAGCTCTGCTTTACGGGCTTTTACAACCTCAGGTCCCAAATGCGGAGAGGCGCCCGACAATGGTAAAAACACATTTCCTGGTTGTATACTGTGACTGCGTCCAAGAGGGATCACCTTTTTATGTCCTTGTAAAACTCCTATTGGCCTATTTAGTCTGCTATTATAAAAGTCCTACTGTATGCTGGTGGTGTAATGTCAATCAAAGTGCTGTTTGAGTGCTGTTAAAAATGTTAAGTGCTCCTCTATGGCATTATCAGAGGCTGTCAGACTGAATGGCCTGCAGTGTGTGTGTGTGTGTGTGTGTGTGTGTGTGTGCGCGCGCGCGCGCGCGTGTGTACCTAGAGTTTTTCATGTTATTGTTTCAAACAGAGAGTTTGGTTGACTATGGCATTTTTGTTTCAAAGGGATAACAATGGTGTGTCAGTGGGGAAAAGGTGTAGTTTGTCCTCACAGTATTGCCCAGCACTGCATGCTAAGTTAACTCAGGTTACTGTTAAATCAATGGATGGTGAGTTTACAGACTTTTAAGGCAACTGTAAAAGTGGCAAAGGCTTGATTTTATCTTTATACTTAAGTGTAATCTAATCTTTTATGTTTCGCTCTCAGGTTTAGTGGTGACCTACTCACAGCTGAAGAGCATGCTGTCCAACAGAGACATTCAGCTCTTTGATGTGAGAAACCCGGATGAATTCCAAGCTGGACGCATTCCAGATGCTGTCAACATCCCATGTGAGTGTTAACACATGCATAACATGGGAAGAAGAGTGGTTTCACGTGTGTTTTTACTCTTATTTCTGGGTTTGAATGTCAGTGGACAACCTGGAGGAGTCTCTGAAGCTGTCCCCAGAGCGCTTTCAGCGGATGTTTGAAGTGAAGGCTCCTGGGAAGGATGACGACAACATCGTGTTTCACTGCAGGAGTGGGAAAAGGAGCCTCACAGCGCTGGACATTGCCCATCGGCTGGGGTTTAGCAGGTAAATTGCAGCAGATGCAGATGCACGTGAAACATCCAGCAGTCCAGTTGTTACATAACCAGTTAATGAGCCAATGATTCCACTGATAAACTCAGCGTGGACCCTGCTAAACCTCTTGATGTGCTGTAGTGGAGCTTGTATCACGATAAATGGCACATTTTGTGTGTTGTTATTTAATTATTAATCAGTCCTGGATGGTACTGACACTAGAGTACAATGTCCTCGGACGCTGCTTTGGTTTGTTGAATGCTGCATGACCTTTTAGTAGAAAAACAAACAGCCATGATAAGAGACTGAGCTCTTCTTCTTATGCTCCTTCTTCTTCTCAGGGCGAGACATTATAAAGGAGGGTACATTGACTGGGAAGAGCAAGAAGGAAAATGAACCCGGACTGAACCGTGGTGCTTAAGTTCCAGATTTTTATTAAGAATACAGGTAGTGCAAAAAAAAACAAACTACAAAACATAAATCAGAGGTGTTTGTTACTCTTGAGCAACATTCAGTTGACTGCTTATAAATTACAAATTACATTCACATTGACTGTTTCTTTATAAGTTACATATTTCAATCACATTAACCGTTACTTTATAGATTAAAAAAAACACTTTAAAGATCAACCTTCTTCGCTGTGTTACATTTTTTTAGCTACTGATTTGACTGATTTTGTAATATGCTGTGCATCCTTTTTATTCTGTGATTCATGACAAACTGGTTAATGTAGAAGTGCTTAATGTTGATTAAATTATATACAAATTTCAAAATGTTATTGTACGTCTTTGTAAACCTGCAATTTGTCCCAATTCAGCACTACACATTTTTTTTTATGGATTTTCAGCCATAAATTTTGAAGGAATACTCCACCCCAAAATGAACGTTTATATATCAATTACTCACCCTGTGCTACATTGAATTTATGAAGAAAACTGTGAACTGAGGTCAGAGAAAATTCTTCATGAGCTGAAGTCATAGAGTCTTGTGTTTAACAGCAGCAAAACTATATCAAAACATCTGCTTATAAACTCTCACACAGCTCGTGCAGTATAATCCAAGTCTCATTTATCCCGTCAGACACTGAAACAGGGAACTGAGCAGAAAGCGAAAGTTAATCTATAATCTTCTCAAAGCCATTAAATGAAGAGATGTCAGAGTGAGGGGGCTTTCTTGGACAGGCACCCCAAGCAGTTGGGGGTTTAGTGCCGTGCTCAAGGGCACCTAAAAGGCACCTCTTCAGCTACCAGTCCACACTCTGTACTTGAACACAAGACCCTGTGGTTCCCAAGCCAAGTGTGGACTGAGCTACTGACCTATAAAATTCTATGCATGTTTTTTACCCCTCACTCCAGACTTTAGACCATGTCAGAATACTTTTCTTCCCAGTGATCTGATCGGTCAGAGGTCAGAATGCTGACAGGATGTGATCAGACACTTTGAAGTTAACCTGCGGAGAAGGAGGAGGAGGAGGAGGTTAACTCTGGCATAAGTTACCCCGGTGATTTATCCTGGTAAAAACTGAACCATCTCTGTAGTACTGTAACCCTGAAGTTACCTTGCTAACTCTTCATCCTGCTTCATAGTACATGTACAGGTGTCTGGTTAACCGCTGCCTCGATCAGTTAGTTAGTGTTATTGTGTGACTTTGGTAATGACGACATATGACACCCCCCACTTAAATCCTTAATAACGAGTTTTGATGCCCCTGGCATATCCATAAAGACAACATTTGACGCCCATTTGAACAGGTTCCTTGTTTGGCTTTGTAACAGACACTCTTATTGGTAGACACGAAACCCAGTAATACTTGAGCAATTAATAGGATTAAGGGATACAATTTCGCTGGGTTTCCCAAAGTTTGTTGAACTCGTGGAATTTTTTTTTTTTTTTTGTACCACCTGATGAGTTTGTTGTTTTTTTTTGAACAATAGAAAAATTATATATTCAAATACAGTCGAAAGTAAAATTGGTTTTAAACTGTTCTATGCCAAATCTGGTGAATCTGGTGTTACTTATTTCAATAATTTGGCAAATATATTTGAACATTTGTTGTGTATCTAAAGTTCATAACATGTATATATTTGATACAAAGTATAATTTATTTTAAAAAATGAAACTCCACTTTAAAGAAATTCAAGTTTTCAAATGGTGATGACTGACTGGAAAATGTATGAAAACCCACTGAAATCCATGGGTAGCCTCAGAATGGTCTATAAGGGTGCTTCTCTTAGGCGTTTTATGGGGTAAAGAGTTAAAAAGTTGGCTCAGATTCACCAAAGTCACACAATATCTCAAACTTACTGGTTGCAGCAGTGCCAGACCAGCAGCACCCATGTTCAGAAAGGTACAATTACTGTTTTTGTCAGTGGAGTCTGGCTTTGAAGAGGGCATGGACGCGTTTTTATTTCACTTCGCAGTCAGACAGGACTGTCTGTTTGGGAAGTACTAATAATAAAGATAAATATCAGCTTAATACATTTTATTTATATCTTGCTTTTCAGGTTGCACAAAGACACTTTACACAACTGTATATATCAGACTTGGATTACACTGCACAAGCTGTGTGAGAGTTTGTAAACAAATGTCTTGATTTAGTTTTGCTGTTGTTTAACGTAGTTACCTATGACTTCAATTCATCAAAAACTTCCTTTGCTTTTTGAATTCTTCGTTCACCATAGAGGCATGTGGGAAAAGCAAAGTTTTATTCACAAATTCAAAGTAACACAAGTGAGTTTTGATCACAAATGATCATTTGGGGGGTGAAAACTTATTCTTTATCAGTTCCTCCCTGTCCTTTGTGCCTTGTGTTGTTGTTTTTTTGCCCATCAACTCCACACTTATTTTTACTTCTCTTTTACAGTGTGAACATGCGTACAGTATTACAAACCAAGCTTGTGAGTTTCTGTCAGATAAATGCAGTTCAATCTTTCAACCAGTAGATGGCAGCAGAATTTCAACCAACTCTGAAAATGTTTGTATCTGTTACTCTACCACTGTCCTTTATCATGATTGTAGCGATGCCCTCTCAGGCCTGGCCTTCACACCACTATTGGTCTAGACAGGTATGGATCCTGTGAGTAACAGCTCTATGAGGAGCTGTCAGGAGCCCAGTCAGCACAAGGTCTGGAGATGCCTCATTCAGAGGGAAAGCAGATCCCACTTCGCCTTCAACCTCCATCCCATTCTCTCTCAACCAGGTCATTTGCAAACATCAACAGTGCAGCATGTGTGTGTGTGTGTGTGTGTGTGTGTAGGAGCCAGTGCTGTGTTTATTATCTCTGCATGAAGAGAAATGATTGTGATGGTGCTCTGTGATCCACTCAGTAACCTATAAAAAATGAGTTTAGATGTGCCTCTATTTAAAAACCTCTATTTTGTGCACATTTAAGACATAAATCAGCACGTCAAAGAGGCAATAGCCTTTCCGGAAAACAATTACACACTTCCAGTCGCTGCCATTCATCTGGGAGAGACTGAGATTGATTTCCTGAATGTTGCATTATGTGCATAAATGAAATGCAAGGGACATCTGGATTTATCAGACATCATTTTGAGTAACTGGAGAAACCACTGTGCACTCATCCAGAGTCAAAATTTAGCACGTGTTATGGATGTCACACACCATCAAGTTTGTCAAGTCTCAGATGTATGGATTCATGCCAGCCACGGTGTGTTTTACGATTCTCCTCAGCTCTGCAGTGCACAGGAGATATTTGCCTGCTGCTGTTGTGGAGAAGAAGGATGGCTCATATTTCCAAGGACACTTGGACACTTTAACATTATTTAAAACACAAACGGACTGCAGGTTGGTGGTGAAAAATGATCAGTTAGGGCTGTTTGTCAGCTGCTGCGCCTACATGGAGCAGATCATCAACCTCCTGCTGCTCACTGCATTTTGAAACTGGTCTTTACAGGAGGCTTTGTAACAAAATCCACAGTGAGTGTAGGTGCTGTGATGTGTTACATATAGAAATATCTGGAAACAAGAGCCATGTAATCTTCCATTTGCCTCCCAATTGACAGATTAATGATTAAAGAACCCAAGTATTAAAATACAACCAAGTGCCACACAAAGGTCTATTGGATTTTCTCCACTGAAACTGGACTCCTTGCATGTTGGAATAAGTTAAAACAGCACCTTCCCATGGTGCACTTCACATTGATCGGTTTGGTCCAGATCTCATTTGTCTGGTGTGTGCTGCCCCTGCAGGGCTTATTACACTTATCTTTAAAATGCCATGTAGAAGGTAGCAAAACAAAACACATTGGCTGACTTTGTGAGGTATAAGACACAACCTGTTGGTACTTTTTACTGAATGGACACAGTTTTTTGTTCTTGTTGTGTGAAAGGGGACTTGAAAGGGACCCAGAGCCACAGTTGTGTGCCGTCTATACATTTTTTTTTCATGCATAGACCCAGCTTGACCTCATTTCGCTCTGTGGGTTTTACTGGTCCTGTTTTATGAGGCCAACATTACGCTATTTTTGTGCGAATGTCACTTCCAGCAAAGCACGACCCAGACTGGTTCAGGGTCACGCGGAGGACTACAGCCAGGGGACAGGACTGTGGCACAATTTAAGCATATGTGATTATTTGCATCATAGAAAATTTAATTTCAACTGAATATGAGGAGAATAAAAGCGTTTTTGTTGTAATAATCAGTCACCTTCATATGTCACGCGCAAAAGGAGACACCTGACGTCTCCACCACTACGCGCGCCTCCCCTGTGGCTGCCAAATTAGAGTGTAAGAAAAAAAAAGAAGCAGCTCAGCGCGTGTTAGCAACAGTCACACAGCCACGCAGCGTCGGTGGACATGTAGTAAGTGAGCGCTTCATCTGTGAGCTTCCCTTATTCACATTCGCCTGCGCGCAATGGCACCGCGCGCTCCTCCTGCTGCTCCCCCACCCCGCTCGCCTCGCAGTGCTGGACGCGATGACCGGATAACTTTTACCTCTGCACGGATGATGCTTTCCCTCGATGGCATCTGATGAATCCTTCACTGGGAAACAGTAACAGGTATGCAAGTCTGGTTACTTTATTCTGCACTGGTTGTTAAGGAAAGAAAGAAAAAACACTGAGGTGTCATTAAGTTTTTATGTTTCTGCTCCAGTGTGTGCACCTTAAATTCTTATCTGCTGTTTTTCTTTGCTAATTGTCTCACTGCGAGTGCGCTCTGATGGCTCATCATTTAGGGAAATTGTTTGTCGCTTCTATTCCTCTGTTACTGGACTATATTTGACCCCAGTCAGTGGAAGCGGGATTGTGGAGACTGATAAGGAAGCTCTATCAGTGGATTTAATTGAATTCGCGATTAAGGTTTGACCTGCGTAAATGAAGCTTCCCTGGCAGCTATAATACATTTGGAAGAAAAGGAAAACAATAGATTTTCTTTGGCTGATGCATTATTAATGTTGTTATAACTACATTGCCTTTAGGTCTTCTTGTACATGAGGTTAAATACAGTAACCCCCCTTCTCCTCCCATAACATCCTGCCTAATGGCTTCACAGCATGCAACAACACTGTATATGTATGTGGGCATGTGCATGTGTGTGCAGTTGAGGATGCATATCACACACTTGTAGGTCAGAGTCCTGCACGTTGGCATGAGGGAACAAAAGAGTGGAGAGGGAAATCTGTCTCAATTAGCACTTAATTTACAACATACAAACAGACCATTCACTGGAGCAGCCTTGTATCACATAATAAATGCCCTCAGATTAAAGATTCATATGTGTGTGGATGTGGTTTTATGATTTGCATTCCTTGTGAGCTGTCAGAACTGATTTTGTGTGTTTTATTTTGATAAACTCCCATTAGGAGACTTCAAGGTGATTGGTATCGGTGTTTTTTTTTTTTTCTTTGCTTCTTCTAGTGGAGAATCATATGATACTGGAGCCACTGAGGCACTGAGTGGAATTATAGACTGGGAAATCTTTAAAAGCCTCCTGGGTTTGAGCCAGATCTAAAAATGATCCTAGTTTCTCAGTGTCTTTCTCCCTATTTCTGTCACAGGTGAAGAGAGTTGGGGAGGAGGGGTGTTGGGGGGGTGGGGGGGGCTGAGTAAGATGGATCAGTTTGTTTAACATGTAGACACAGGTGTGAGCACTACCACAGTGTTGTTATCTGGATTCAGGCCAGATAGGGAGAATTGGGAATAAATGAGAGGAAGGATGGAGCGCGAGGAGCCGAGCCCGGGACCAGAGCCAACCGGACCTCTCAGGGTGGCAGCACAGACTTATTACCCCTCCCTGATGAGCTAACCTCACTGACACTGCTCAAAGGCACACTGCCAGCCCCTCATTAAAGTTACCATCTCTGCTTTGGACTTTGCTGTATTACAAGCCATTTGCAGGAAGGAAGGAAGGGGATACATTTGAGAGGCTGATTGGAACAACCATAAATGCACTGTCGATCAAGTTTGATGTTGAGAGAATGAATTTCTGCTGAGTCTTCATGGAGCTGATTGTCTGCACAGGAGCAATGGAGCTTGAGGCGGCATCAATATGTGCCTCCACCTTTCATTCAGCAGGAAAAATAACCCAGTGTAAACAGCAAAGAACACAACTGCAGGGATGCTTTTCAGCTGTTTTATTTATCAGTTCATCTGACTACTGTCACTAGGAGTCATGAAATGATGCTGCCGTCATCATCTGATGGCTAATAAGCTGCACTTTCATCTGACTAATGAGTTGTGAGAAATGTTAAGTCTGTCTTTGAGGAGGAGGGAGCTATGTGATGAATGGTTAAAACAACAAACTGCTCTTTTCCTTTGTTAGGTCTGCCAAACACCTCACCTCCCATGTCACCGGGACGTCTCCATGGCGATGTTTAGCAGCGCAGAGCGGCTCTGGAACGAATCAGACCGTCTTGGATGGGACTCAGAGAGGAATGAGAGCTCAGAGGCATCAGGGCAGGATGAGCGTAACTACTATGCCATGCTGTACTCCCTGCTCATTCTTGCCATCGTGTTTGGAAACGTGCTGGTGTGTCTGGCTGTGCTGAGGGAGCGTTCACTCCAGACGACCACCAACTACCTGGTGGTCAGCCTGGCTGTGGCGGACCTGCTGGTGGCCTCGCTGGTCATGCCCTGGGCTGTTTACCTGGAGGTGAGGAAGGAGGGTGTCTTTGTTAACAAAATATCAGTGTATGAAAGAAGCATTGATTAGAGCAGTGGTTCTCGAGCCTTTACTCAAGTAAGTTCTCATACTGTTTGTGCTGGAACACTTGTATTCCCCCTCAGTCTCAAACACTGTTTGTGCACCTGTCCCTTTGAGCCCTCCTCCTGAAACAACACATTCTCACTCCGACCTGACATTTTGGTCATTGACTTTCCACGTCCACATACGACGTGCAAGATACCTTGGATGTGTTGGTTGTTGATGTTCTAGTACACCGTGTCAAGTTCTGCCTGTTACATACATTGTTTTCTCTCAAAATACACTTCCGTTTTCACAGGAAATGTAACATTTACATACAGTCTCTTTAAAAATAAATGCATAAATGCTAACCCAACAACAAACGGAAGTGGTTAGGTTTAGGAAAAAAAAGATCAGGGTTTGGCTTTAGAATCTTACAGGACGTGAACGCTGCGCTCTCGGGTGAAAGTCGTTGTTTGTTGGACCCAACTACCAACCCTCCCACCTGACCCAGTCAGACTTTCGCCAACTCAGCTTCCGTCTTTGTCCTGCCGCCTTTCCCCCTGATGTCGCCGGGTGCAATTATACTATAACGGCAACCTGTAGCTTATCATGCCGACGTTAAGGACGCCTTTTTTCATTGGTCTCTGATGCCGCAAGGCATTGCCCAAGCTCTGGATTTCGATGACTTCGGAGTGAAACTGTGCTCCCTGAAAAAGCCCAGTGTGCTCCGATTGATCCATGTTTCTCGGCCCACTGCATCTCAGCGTATCTGCGGGAGCGTATCTATGTTTCCCGGGTTCTATGTTTCCCACTTAACCCTGCAAAAAAGGTTCTTTGTTCCCTGCTTACTCAAAAAAGGTTCTATGTTTCCCGGGTTCTATGTTGCCTGCTCAACCATGCGGGAAACATAGAACTGTTTTTGTGTAAGTGGGGAACATAGAAGCTTTTTTGCAGGGTTAAGTGGGGAACATAGAACCCTGGAAACATAGGGATGACCCCGTATCTGCACCATTATTGCAGCCGGGGGAACAACCAGGCCCCCCAGGAATGCGACTGAGCCTTGCACGCAATTTTCACAGTGGCCACTCACGGCATTGCAACGGAAAAAAAACCCTGTGACTTAAAAAGTGTTTTCCCTGTATGTCAATATTATACAAGAGACGTCTGTAAATCTGTTGACAGGACACCTCAAACTGCAAACAAACAACCAGGACTTATTGTGAATTTCTGATCCATGGAGGTTTTATAACTATAAAACTATCCTGGAGCTAAGAAAACCGATTAAAAAATCTGTGATGTTATCAAAATGTAAAGTCTATGAGCCAAGTGGGAACTCGCAGGTGGGGCCAGCAGGAGACACACTGCTGTGTATCTTTAGTGAGCTGCATACCGTGGAAATAAACTCGGAAGCAACTCTATTTGAATGAATTGGGGATCCGGTTTCTAGTTATTATTTATACATCTATGGGAAAGACTGTATCGAAGTGTAGCTCAGTTTTTACTGTGGAAATCACCAATAAAAGCTTCTAAACCAAAATCTTCACAACTGGACATGTTCCAGCAGGAATATGATCCAAAATTTGGGAGAATTTAACAACATTGTCAACCAAGTTACTCGTTTTCCTGACGTTAGCATGAAGCTACATGTAGCAGTGTAGGCTGCATAATGTAAACACTTGCAGTAGTGTGCCTGGAGCATGACTTTATAAAGAAATCTGTCACGATCTGACGTCAGCTTGCAACCAAAGTAGAAAAAAGGTTTGAAACAGAAGCCTGAGGTTATTGCACACAGGGATTACTTTAACATACATTTACCTCATACTGCTAAGTTCTTTAAAGTTCATTTCAATACATTTCAAAGTGGATGTCAACTAACACATACAAACCCAATACCTAACAGTGGATATTAGGCATATTTGGACCAGCACATCTGTGGACTCCCTGAGAGGAAGTGCTCACAGGGAGGTCCCCAGAGAACTACATGCCTTCAGAGCCTTTTTTTCTGTTTGCATTCGCACCACCAAGAAATTGAAGTGACATATTGTAAGCCATCTGGTGGTTGGGATAGCAATATCTCTTGAACTATGTGCCTTCACATATGCTCAGTAAAGCCTGAACTTTACTGTCAGTCCATTTGTCCGTGTTATCTTTCATTTTTTCATTACAAGCTGCTGTGTGTGTGTTATCTGTTGTTTTCACGGCTGACAAGTTGTTGGAAATGGTGGTTAGCAGTGCTGCATTGTCTGTGTGAGACCAATCACCATACACTTATGTCACTCATGGTTCCTCTTGTGCAGAGAGGACCTTCTCTGAAATAGGAGCTAAAAAGTCCCTTCTCAAACGGCGTTCTAAGAACTATAATCGTTCCTAGTTCTTGCAGTGCAAACACAACAAAAAGGCAGGTTTCTATAACTATGAAAAAGTTCCTCCAGTCCGAGAACGACTTTTTTTTTTTTTCCCTTAAAATTAGTTTGTCAATGTTTGCAGTTACTAACCTTTGGAGGAGCAAAAACCACAATTTATTCAATGAAAACTGACAGCTAAAATGGTGGATAAACGGTTACAATGACTCATGTTAGCTAAAAGAAATGACTATAATAACAAATACATAAAAAGGCTTATGCTGGCTAAAAGTATGGATAAACAGTTGCAATAGGCAGCTGGAAGTAACTTTTAACTGATTATGTCCATTTATCCTGTTTATCCCTTCATTTCTGCCAAAAATGTTAACCATTTAACGATTCATTTTGGATGACTTCAAAGAAAAAAAGATTTATCCATTAGTTACTTTCAACAAATTACTTTGACTTCTTTGATAACATTTAGCTCCAAATTCACAAAACCAGCCTGAAAATGAAGGAAATTTGAAACAATAGCATTAGAATCAATGGAGCACAGCTGTGTTGTTGTTGGACCCTGGTTATGATTGGCCAGTCTGCGCCTGGGGGCGGGACTTAGCGAAGGGTCAATTATTTCACATTAATAAGAGATTGTCACTGTGACAGTAAATTCACTAAATTACCAATTTACCATTCTAATTGGAGGTTTATTTTCTTCCCTAAAACAATTATTGGATGTGTTTTTTTAATCAAATCATGAATTATTGTTATTTTTAATTACTTGAGCTACCCCACAATCTTTTCACCCATCCTGCTCCCAATTATGCTACATGCACCCCTGTTGGGAATCACTGATGTGGAGCTCTGAAGGGAAACAAGGGTGAGACAGTGGAGAGGAAGTGGAAGAGATTGAAATACAGATGCTTGGCAGTGAGTGAGGAGCGGACGCTGGAGAGGAGGAAAGAGGAGAAAGGGCAGAAAGTTACGTGGCAGACAAAGTGGACTTTTGAAACAAGAAAAAGGAGCTACAGTCAGATAGAAAAAGGATGAGGGTCATTTGGAGCTTATTACGCAGTGACAGCTGTGTGGGTGATAGGAAGACACTAATGATGATAAAAAGCTGGTTTAGATAGTGCTTCACTGTTCATGTAGATTATACATAATTGCTGAAGTATGTATTGAATATTAACAAATAATGACTTCATCTACTTTGGATAATTGGCCAAGCCTCAGATGACATCGGGGCAACTGCAAAATGGTGAATTTCATTTTTATCAGAATCTCTGTATTTGCTGTTAGTTTGTTCTACATGTGTTTCTCACAAATTACTCACTAGTTTCTCATAGTTTTTCTGCTCATAGTTAATTTCCTCAACCTCCATCCTTTTGTCCATAAATGGATTTATGAATGAGCCTACTGGGCACAGGTCCAGGGGCCAAAACTGTCAGGGCCCCCCTGGACTTCACCTGCAAAATGGCACACAAATTGACACATACCAACCAGGAAGAGCCTCAGAATGACCACAAATAAACACAAAACAACTACAAAGACACTCAAAAAGACCAAAAAGAGATCAGGAAATGACTGCAAACAGACTCACAATGGCTATGGAAAGGGGGAAAACAACTACAGAGACACACAAAATTTCTACAAAGAAGATTATAGGTGCTATATCAGAGGCATCTGGACTTGCTTGAGTTTCTTGAAGATGTTTAGCCTCTCATCCAAGAGGCATCTTCAGTTCAGAACTGAAGACGCTTCTTGGATGAGAGGCGAACGCAAGCAATTCCAATTGCCTATGATATAGCACTTATGATTACCATGACCTGGATGACTGAAAATCTTCACAAACGTGTTACAAGGAAGTTCAAAATAACTACAAACAGATAAAGTAAAACTGCAAATTGTTTCTAAACCACTAAAAAGAAATGCAGACACAAAAGGACTCATGGCTATTAAAAAGGGGCAAAACAACTACAAAATACTCAACATTACTACAAAGAGATGCAAAACGACTACACAGAAATGCAAAACAGCTGCAAAGAGACACAAAAAGACACACAATGATGATGAAAAGCAGCAAAACAACCACAAAATGACACAAAATGCCTACAAAGAAAATTTCAAAAAACTACAGAGACACAGAACAACTACGAAGAGATTCTAAACCACTAAGAAATGGACCAGCTATACTTGCAAAGAGACACAGAAAGACTCATGACTATGGAAAGAGGCCAAAAAACTACAAAAACACTGAAGAGATGCAAAACAACATCATATGAATGCAATACAGCTGCAAAGAGACACAATATGATTCACAAAGACAATGAAAAGTGGCAAAACAACCACAAAGAGACACAAAATGACCACAGAGAAGATTCAAAATCACTACAAAGAAACATAACAACTGCAAAGAGTCTCTAAACCACTAAAATAAATGCACCTGCAAAGAGAAACAAAAAGACTAGACTATGTAAAAGGAGCAAAACAACTACAAAATACTCAACAACTACACAAAAAAGACACAATAAGACTCATAACGACAATGAAAAGCAGCAAAACAACCACAAAGAGACACAAAATGACTACAAAGAGACAAAACAACTACAAAAATAGGCTAAATACCTA